CCTTCTCAGCCTCCCAAAGTGCTGGAATTTCAAGTGTGAGCCACTGCACCCAGACGTTTTCTTTTTTAAATTATTCACCAATGAAGAAGTAGGACTGACCATAGTTCTTAACCTGCATGGTACATGATTCTATGTCTTCTATTAGATCGTATGTTCCTTTAAGCCAAAGACCTTTTATCTCCAGGAGCTGACACAGTGCCTGGCACATAGCACATGCTCAATAACATTGCAGAGACTACTATCTGCCTATCCCAATATCCAATCAATTTCTCTTAGTAAAAGAAACCCAGTTATTGCCAGTGAAAGGTAAGAAGTACTACCTGGAAGATTCTAAGAAATATCCTCAAAAAATACTAAACACCACTACTTTAACACACATCCCACTGGCACTGTGCAGCTTAGAATGCAGATGAAATGATCGGTGCTCTGATTTGGATGCTGGGGATGATGGAGACAAAAGCTGGAAGCAGCCGAGATGCCAGATGACTACAGAGCTGAAAAAGCAGCCCTGGTCTGCCTTCTTCTACATAGCAGTCATTATTTGGAAATCTTTGTTATTTTGGATCTCTATTATTTGTAGAGAAACCTAATCCAAACTAATAAAGGATCTGATATCCAACTTCTAATTTTTGCTACTAATTATTATATTCTCCAAGAAAAGTATGAATGTTGCCTTATTAATTCATGTTCTAGTTCTGCTGCTTCTCTAGTTCTGCTGCTTCTTTTCACTGACACACTTTGCAATGCAATGTTTCCTCAGCTCTCTCATTTCCTTTCACAGCCCATTTTGCTCTGTCACTTGTATCCCTTGTTTATTCAATTCCTCTTCTCCAGCGAAGGTGTCTCAGTTACTTCCCTCTTCAACATGACATGGGTGTGGCAGCTCACAGCAGTAGTCCCAGCACTTTGGGAGGCCAAGGCAGGAAGACTGCTTGGGACCAGGAGTTTGAGACCAGCCTGGGTAACATAGTGAGACCCTGTCTCCACAAAAAATAAACAAAAGTTACCCAGGCATGGTGGCATGCACCTGTAGTCCCAGATACTAACAGCAAGCTAAGGTGGGAAGACAGCTTGAGTCCAAGAGTTCAAGGCCGTGGTGAGCCATAATCTCGGCACAATACTGCAGCCTGGGTGACACAGCAAGACGCTATTTCAAAAAAAAAGACACAACCCCAACACCCCAGTAGCATCCTTAGACAATGCCTTCATAAAGGAGAAGTTTTCAAAAACAAACAGACTTGTTCTCTGATAGCTTCATGAAGAAGAAAAAAACCACATGTAATACTTATATAATTCTTCTGGGATATTTCAGACTGAGCCAGTAGAGCTCAGGTAATCCCAATTTGCCCACGTTAATTTTCCATGCTATTTAAATGCTCATAATTTTTGTGAATACAGTCTTTCATTCTCTTCACTTGCTTATTCTTGTCATCCTTAAATTTCAGAAGAATTTCAAGTGGTTGGTTATCCTTCTGTTAATCCCGTGAGATATAAGAATTTTAAGTCTCCAAGCTGACAAAGATTCTTTGTGTGACCAAACTTCAGTCAGGATCCTGAACCCTTCCTAGGACCACATGTGTACCTCTTTATAAAATCCAGTTTTCAGCAAAGAACCCTGCTAAGGCAGTTCAGCAAGAACCTCCCACCCTTGATACCTAATCACTCTCAGTATCTGATCAGGTTTCTCATCCTCCACCAGCACTAGCTGATGTCTGATCACCCTGGCCTGTATTCAGCGAAAATCCGATGAGGTCAATTTAGGCAGAATGCCCCTGACCCCTGATGTTTCCTCTTAGTAATTTTCTGTCCACTGACCCTCACCCTGCTCCCTGGCTACAAATGCCCACTTGCCCATGCTTTGGTCCCTGTATCTCCTGCTAACTAAACACTGCCTCGTGCCTTAATAAGTAAAATTGAGTAATTTTTTCTTTAACAAAAGTAAATTTCATTTTAGATATTAAAAAGAAAGTGTTACAAATTTAATAAATTACTAATTATTCTTCCTACTTCCTCAAAAAGTCTTCATTTCCAAAAACCTTTTTGCATTATTGTCACTCATTTATTTACTCTTTCTTTGCTTTAGATCTGATTTAGAGGATTTTTTTGGTCTGCTTTACTTACTAGAAGCTGTAGGGTATTATTTTCTTGTTCTTATGCGTTCTCTTGTGCTTGGCACTACTCTTATCTTTTTCTTTCGAATTTACTTGTGTTTAGGAGTTGCTATCTTCTCTTTCTGTTCTGAGTGTAGATAACAACTCTGAGTTGTAGTTGTGATTCCTATACTTGTTGTCTAAGGGTTAGGGTTAGGTTTGTCTAAGGGTCCTGTACTTGCTGCCTAAGGGTCATTTTGCTCTTTTGACCTAGCAAACTTGATTTCTATTTGTTCCAGATAATTTCATGGTATCATAATGAGTTTAATAACAGAAGTAACTCAGCACTCTCTCATAACTTCCCAAAAGTTTCCTCATGGAGACAACTAAAATTCCACAAAAAAATTCCACAAACCATGAGAAGAAAGCAACATAAATGGCCTGAAACTATACTTCTACTTTCAAGATACTTGAGCAGGAGCTCTGACTTTTCTGTAACTGGAACTGCACAGGGAAGCAAGAGATGCCACCCTGACCGTAAATAACTAGAAACCTATAAGCAAAGCAAAGGTTACCTTTCCTAGTTAGTAAGATAAGAGACAGAACTGTGAAGGGCTCCTGATATCTCTATGCCATCTGGTGATATCTTCAAACCTTCAAGGCTGAACTCAGGAGTTCAAGACCAGTCTGGCCAACCTGGCACTCTACCAAAAATACCAAAAAAAAAAAAAAAAAAAATGAGCTGGGCATGGTGGCACATACCTGTAATCCCAGCTACTCGAGAGGCTGAGGCAGGAGAATCACTTGAACACGGTAGGCAGAGGTTTCACTGAGCCGAGATTGTGCCAAAGGAAATATGGTCTAATTTAGACTCATCTGAACCAAAACAGCTCTTAATTGTTTTATATTGAAATTCTGGGTAAGATTTTCTGTCAAAAAGGGGTAAAATATTATTTTGCTTTTAACTTTTAGAAAGCAATTGTAGCCTACCAGAAAAGACTAAAATACCAAGTGTTGGTAAAGATGTGAGGCAACTAGAACGTACTCATTTACAGTACAGCCATACATGAAAGAGACACTTTGAAAAACTATTAGAAAGTATCTGTTACACACACATACACACTTTATCCAGCAATTCTACTCACTGGTATGTACCCAAAAGAAATAAATGCTATGTCCACCAAAAGTAATGTACAAGAATGTTCTTAGCAACTTTTATCTGTAACAGCTCCAAACCAGAAAGACCCCAAATGCAAAAAATCTTGGAATAAGCATTAGTACATTCTACTCATGGTTGTGATATGTTAATTTTTGACAAAGCATAGAGCCTTGCTGGGGCTCCATTCCAGACACTGAAATGCTAAGTAAAGTCTCTATGCTTTCTGAAGTTCACTAATTCATAATATAATTTCTACAAATTTTCTTGGTCTTTATGTTAACCTTAAACATAGCAAGCATATACACAAAATGTTCTCTTCCTGATTGGCACCAATATTTAACTTAAGCACATCTCTTTAATCCCTACTGAAGAGCCTCGTGGTCTAACAGGCTCCTTTTATATTAGCAGATGTGGCCGGCATCAGTGTCAGGCCATCATATAAGCACAAAGACTGAAATACCTAATACAAGTGATTAAAAATCAATTACAGTCTATTATCTGGAAAAAATAATAAACTGCAATAAGAGTAGCTAAAGCTAAAATTTTCTTTGAATCAATAAAAATAATCTAGAGCCAGTATAGTGATTGTACATCATAACTTATAATCAATAATTGAAAGCTAGGTATAAGCAGGCAGCTGTTCCTCTGAGATTATCTACATATTGAGAAATCAATATTTACTATACAAGTTCTAAACAGCGAAAAAAAATTAAGGAGATATTCCTTGGTGAAAGTAAGAAGGACATACAGGAAGTATACTGCTTTTTCTTTTTTACAGGGGTTATACATTAATAAATGAAAAAGACAAAAATAAAATTTAGTTATAGCCCACTTTTCTTCATGAAGATATGCTACCTGAATTTAATAGTAGTTTCTACTTTTATATCCTCATTTCAGGTATATAAGTCATCAAGTCAGGTTATCAGATCAAATGAGGGCATACTCGTTTTCACTTCATGAGAAAAGAAACAAAATGCTAAAAATCATCTTTAAGAAGTTTTAAATCCAAGAAACGTATTTTATCGATTAGGCTTCTAAATTCTGGAGATTCTCTAACCTTTTGTAAAAAATAAGAGAAGATATATCCATCAGATGACAAAGGAAGCACTACACGTAGTAAAATGTCATGGAGAAAAGCAAGGTCTCTCATTGAGACCAAGGGATGGATTCAAATTCTGGCCTCGCCATCTAAATCTGAACAAATTGTTTTAATCTTACAAGACTCAGTCTTCCTGTCCATAAAATGAAGAGATTAGGTTAGTGCCTTTATTTTTCTCTACCACCAAAAATTTCAAAATGCTTAAAATTCACTATGTACTCATTGACATGACGTGCACTTCCTGACTTTAACTTTAATCCACACAAAAGCCGATTAATCTCATTACCAACAATACCTAGAAATTAGAAATCAGAAGCCACTAAAACTGAATGGTCAACATTAGGGTCTGAGGCCTTAAAGAAGGCTTTTCACCGCCTGTAAGCTGGGTTTGCATCCATCAAACAAATAAAGAAGGCCATGATGTGTACATGAAAAAATGAGGTATAAATAACTGAAAGTCTACAATAAACTAGGAGAGAATTAATAAAAAAAGAAACCTCACCAATGAAGCTGTTTCTGTTCCAGAAAAGGTTTTCAGTTTCCATATACACACACACGTATGTATACATATATATACATAAAACACACAAATAAATATGTATACATTATTAGCTAAATACAGAGTCAAAATAAAAAAACATCTTCTACTCACTTTGACAGAGACACTCCCCCAGCTTTCCCAATCATCTCTTCATGGTGCAGTACCGAGTGGTTCCAGGGAATATGGAGGAACTTTAAGAGTGTTCTCATCCACCGTTCAGGATGTAAGACAAGCTGTTCGTAGTGAACCAACATGCACTTTTTATAACCAACCTCCATACACTGGTTATACATGGTCTCTATGGCACGATTCCACTTGGTCAAGCAGTCCCTGTAGCTGTTCAGGTCAAATCCAGCTATAGTAACTTTACGAGAAATCATTGAATGTACTGATGCCCGGCCATCTCGGACCATCAGGAGAAATTTGGCATTGGGGAATAACCTAGCAAGGTAAGTTAAGGATTTCAGGGCAAAAGGATCTTTATTACATAAATAAGGGGCTGGCTCCCCATGCTTAACGATGATTTCTAGTAAGAAGGCTTGCATGGCAGAATCCAGCACTTCATCAGTAACACCAGCCTCATCCAGCCGGATCTTCTCTTTACTTGACCGTGACCACATCTGTTTCAGGGCCAGGATTCGGGGAATGACCCTGGTTTCCTCTCCACAGCGAATGTCAGGATGCGCATCCAGCATGGCCCTCATGAGTGTGGTTCCACTCCGAGGCACACCTCCAATAAATATTAAAGGCATATCTTTGTGATAGGCAAAGGTTGTGTTGGCTTTGAGGTCCAAGCCAGTTCTCACAGTGGCCCTTGTGCTCTCTGATTTAACTGGCTGGCTGCGTTCCTCTATCCGGTGATGGCATTCCATGGCATGCTGGCCCAAGTAAAACACGGTCACAGAACTAATCACCAGACATGCCAACAGTAAGTTCTGCTTCAGCTTTCCAACCATCTTGATGTGGTTATCTTGTTATTAAACAGATATTTTGCTCAAAATGATTTTCAGAAAATGTTCAGGCCATGGAGAGTCTACTTCAGAAAGATGACCGACATCTAGTAAAAAGGAAAAGGTTATTTTGTGATCACATCAAGATTGCTTGCAAACCAGTCACCAGTTATCACCACTGCATTTTAGCTAGAAAGAAGCTGAAACAGTCTTAGATTATTTGATATT